TATATATATATATATATATATATATATATATAAATAAAATAAAATAATTCAATATTACTATTATTAAAATATTTTTTTCACTAAACAAAAACATAAAATACAGGCAAGCAAGTATGTTTTCTCCCATATAAAATTTATATGGGACATTATCTACTGTTATTAATAGAGATGTGTCCCTGTGTGTGGGTAAAACCCTTTATTTTCATGTAAATGACAGGTGTCAGTGCAGAAAAAAAACCTACTTCATTCAAAACCTTTGGTAGAGGCTCATAATAAACAAATTGTTTGGTCCAGAAAAAGCTAAGCATTGTCAGCTGTTAAACTAGCAAGAAATAAATATACAAGAAAATAAAAAATAAAAAATGTTCCACTTTGTGTCATTGATCAGTGTTATGAAAAGCTGTTACTTACATCGTGTTTGACACATGGCTCATCTTTACTGGACGTGTAGGGACTCTCCACAACTAATCTGTTGTTAATCTTGCCATTGTCCGTGTAGCAAGCAGTAACGATGTCCAAGAGTTTCTGATTGATGTTTTTAAGGGGATACATGCACAGAGCTGATTCGGTGGCCCCTTCCTCTGAGCTAGCTACCACAAACAGGACTTTATGCCACTCCCGGACATTCCCATAGTCTCCGGATTCAGATATGGCCTGGGCCAGCATTTTCCCCGGTTCTGTCAAATACGCAGCCTGGACTTTGTTATAGCGATTCTTCAGACCGCAACTAAGCTGAAGCTCCGTGTATGAATAATAGTGATTGTCGTTTTCGCAGAGGCGCGAAACGAAAGTAAAGTTCTTGTTGTCCGTTCCGCCAAGAGTGCGTGAAAAGAGGAAGTAGACGAAGTTGTCGTTTTTGAAGGCGAAGCGGAAGTCGTGCAGGTACTTGGGCACAAAGGGAACCGCCTGGACAGTAGACGCCTCGATGATGCTCTCGAACAAGACCCAGTCGCGGTAGTTCTGCACGATTCTGGTGCTGATGAGTTTGGAGCTGTCCATGCTTCCGTAGCCCTTCCCTACTAAAAAGACGCTAAACGGTTTATTGTCGATTTCAAGCGTGGCCATGACTCCTACCACAGAAACGTGCTCTTCAGTGCTGGTGGCGTAGGTCCGCTCCCCTTTGCTGTCGCTGTAGTATATTTGCTCTTTGACGTTGGTGAGGTTGAGCAGAGAGCAGATTCCTCGGTACAAACTCCCACAGACTATCAGTGACCCATTAGCCGAATGAACCAGCAAGAGTTTATTGGTGTTGTTGGTGTCTTTCAGGTCCTGGCAAGTAGACACCGGAGGGGTGCAACCCCTCGCATCTTTCTTGGGCCCTGTTTCAGCTCTGGCTTCAAGGTGCAATAAAGAGTTCAACTGATAAATGGCATTGACAGCACCCAGGTAAACACGACCAGTCTGTGGGTCTTGTGCCACATTATTGATGGGCGAGTCCGTGGAAAACTCCAGTATGGGCTCTTCGGAGGATGCAGCAATTACTTGTAGCACCAGTAGGAACGCTGGTAACCAGGTGGCCATTGCTGGAAAAAGAAAGAGTTTGAATTAGGAAAAATGACAAAATACAAAGTTCAGTTGTTGGGGAGTTGAATTGCATGGTCAAGCAAATATAAAAGGGATTTTAATTAATAGTGCTTGCTAATTACATACTATTGCTCATACGCATTACAGCCCTAAAAACCACACAGAACACCACAAAACTCACTAAAACATTGTAGCAACCACCTAGAACACCCTAGCAACACCCTAGAAACCTAAACTAAAACATCCCAGCTACACCCGAGGAAACACCATAGAAACTTCCTAGAAAAACCACTCAAAACATCATAGAAACCCCCTTGAACACCATAGTGACCACCCAAATATCACAGAAATCCAATAAAACAGCAACACCGTAGCAACCCTCAGAACATTTTGGCAACCTCCTAGAACATTCCAGCAACAGCCTAGAAACCACCCAAAGCAACACAGAAACTTCCTAGAACACCCTAGAAACCACCCAGAACACCTTGGCACAATCCACCTAAAAACAACACAGAAATCTAATAAAACATTCTAGCAACACACTAACAACCTCTAGAACATCATAGAAACATAGAATACCCTAGAAACCAACCAGAACACCTTGGCAACTCCCTAGAACAGCCCAAAAACACACCCTAACACCCTCCAAAACATAGAAACTCACTTGAAACCCCAAGCAAACACCCAAAACAACATATAAAACAACTAGAACATCCTTGAAACCCCCTAGCAACCCAGAGCATCAGATAAACTCACTAAAACACCACAGCAACCATCAAAACCCAATAAAAACCCAACTACCACACAAAACAGCATAGAAACTCCCTAAAACATCCTAGGAACCACCTAGAACACCCTAGCAACACCTTAGAAACCACCAGAAAACAAACGCCAACTAAAACATCCTAGCAAAACCCAAGCAACATTCTATGAAATCCTAAATACACCACAGAACACCTTAGCAACACCCCAGAAACACCACTCAAACATCCCAGCAACCACCTAGAACACCCTAGTAACACACTAGAAATACCCCCCCCCCCCCCCCCAAAAAAAAAAACAAAAACCCCCAAAAAACCCCCCCCCCCCCTCCCAAAAAATAAAAACAAACACCCACTAAAACATCCTAGCAACACCTGATCAACATCCTATCAACCCCTGGAAACTGCTTAGAACGACCACTCAGAATGTAATAGAAACTCCCTGAAGAATCCCAGCAACCACCCAGAGCATCCTAGCAACCAGCAAGGTAGCCATTGCTGGAAAAAGAACAGTGAAAATTGGAAGAGTTTCCACAAAGTGAACACACAAACATAACAGAGCTACAACAGTTGGTGAAGGTCACTACAGGTGGATGCGACCACGACGCTCAATCTCTCGGCCCATTCATCCCTTCAGAGAAACATTCTTCAAATTAAAAAGCCTGGCGAGGCTCAAACCTGGGTGACTGTTTTATGATGTTAACCTGCCATTCCCTGGAGTTCCATCGACACGCGAAATAATGCACTCACCCTCAGGGTTGAGTTAATTTCAGCTCTCACATTCATTTACATAAAACCCCCTGCCCTTCTATTGGCAATTTTCATCTTTTTTTCACCTTCTCCCTGCTGATCACGAAGCTCATTTATTACAAATTCCATTTCTTGGCGTAAATGTAGCTGCCCTTTTTAGTTCATACCCTTAAACAATTCTTTTTCATTTGGAATGGTGGCTTAATTTGGTTTACGCCGTCCGTCCTCTTTTTGGGAAGTGGTTTGTTATTCTTTTACTTGGTCCTGAGGACGTTTTTGCTCTTGTCTGATGTGATGCAGCAGTTTAGGTTGAAATCAGGTGTAGATGGGTGCTATAGTCGCAAAAGTGTGACCAGTCATCCAATGAGATCTATGCAATGTCTCAACAGTTTCTCTTAGACAGTAAAGAGACTTCTTAATGTGTTTGGAAGTGGAACTTCTCAATTGTTTCTCCTAAACAACAAAGAGATTAAATTGTGAGCAAATTGAGACTTTTGCTTCTGTCTGAAGTGTGACTGATCCTAAAAAAGAGAAAAAAAAATCACAACTCTCAACTGATTCTCTTTGAAAGTAAAGATAATAAATGGATAGATACTCAAGATTTTTCTTGTGTCTACAAGTATGACTGACCCTGTAGTAGAGAAAAATCCCCAAAGAGACTAAATGGAGAGCAAACAGAAACTTTTTCTTGTTCTGAAAGCATGAATGATCCTTTTTGTAAAGACAAATCACCAATGAGATCTCTGTAATATCTCAATTGTTCCTCAACAAATAAAGACCTTTCCTTGTGTCTGAAAGTATGACTGACCCTGCAAATAAGAAAAATCAAGTGTGACTGAACCTATAGGAGAGAACAAAAATCACCAACAAGACTAAATAGAGTGCAAATGGAGATTCTGCTTCTCGGACTATAGCTCCTCTAAAATTTTAGAAGTAATCTCAACAATTTCTCTATACTGAGATTTGAAGTCTCCCATCAAAAGTCAGTTTTGATAAAAACTTGAAAATTTCGCATCAAAGTCTCCCAAAGCCAAATTATCTGAGCTGTGATCCACATCTTCTCCATCTACTCTTTCTGGATGTCAACAGTTGATTTGAGCCTGCTTGTGGAATCTGAGGAGAAACATCTAAGATGAAGTTGATACTTCAATGTCTCATTTGTGTCTATTATTTTTGGAGAAACACCTGATGCAAAGTTGCTGCTCCAATAACTTTCCTGAGCTAAGCACCACCAATCTGTGAGCAATCAAATTTTGCTCAGAGATTTACTTTGGGATTGGGTTTAGGAGCACTATGAAAGCAAAGACCATCTCAATGCATCTGCCTGCAGGTGCTTGAAAGGAATCATATAATATTTAACCTCTAATTGAGGAAGACAAATGACAGCATTTACTGACAGCACTAGACCTGAAAGGACATTTCGGCAGCTCTAACTCAATACTGAGCTCATGGACACAAAGGAAATGGGACGTGGACATATAGATCAGTGACAGAGACTTCGCTTAAGAATCACACATATATCTTCAGGGATCCAATTACCCTGACGTGTGTTCGTAATGCAGGACAGAAGGTCAAGACACACTGGCCTGCGTCCATTAATTCTGTTATTGCAGTCAGTGCGGACAGCAGCCTTGGAGAAAACGTAGCCGTCTGTCTCAATTAAAGCAAATGACAAAGCGCAGGATTCAAATGCTAATTTTTTGGGGTGTTGAGTTTCGTGGTTAAGTGAGTATAAAGGTGAGGTTAATTAGTAGCGCTTGCTAGAACAAACACTTTTACTATTGTTCATACTTGCGTTGTGTTTTACAGACATGAAAGATACCTCAAACCTCATGTGGTTTGTTGAGAAGAGGTGCGCTGTTACTTTTATAAGCAATCAGACATATAATTTGCACCTGATGGATGACAAAACAGGTTAAAAAAAAATTATATAGACTAACACTGAATCAGCATTGAATCCACTAAATCCCCTAGCAACCAGCTAGAACAGCTTAGCAACCATATGAAACACTCTAGCATCCACCAGAATGCCCTTGAAATCCTCTAGAGCAGGGGTTTTCAATCCAAGGGGGCGCCAGCACCTGTCAAGGGGGGCGTGAGCATCAGTTAATTCAGAGACGTTCCCTTGAGAATTTATGAATATGAGTTAACAAATCTTTAGCCATCCACTAGGGGGCATTCTGACTCTCACTGCTAGTCGACAGTTAGAGCAGAGTTGGCTCGAGTATCAGTCACGCGCTCAGTGTTGTCAAGTCCGCGGTTTTCCCGCGGGATTGGGCTACTTTAACACTTGCCGCATTTTGTTTATATTTTTAAAAGAACACCATAGAAACCCCTTAGAACACTCGCAACCACCCAGAACACACTAGTAACCCCCTAGAGACCCCTTAGAACACTCTAGCAACCACCCAGATCACCTACCTTGGAAACCCTCTTGAATACCCTAGCAACACCCTAGAAACCACACAGAACCAAATAGTTTTGGGCTAGTTTTGAGTAGCAATTAGGCGGGTTTTGTTGTGAAAACCTGGCAACCCTGGTCACGCTTCTTGACAGTGTAAGATGATTTACGATTAGCCGTGTCGGAAATCCAACCACGGATTGGCATGTTGTTATCTCAGAAACAGGCTCAGCCATCACATTGAATCAGGTAAACTGGTTCTATATTTATGTTTCAGTATAATTACGCACGCTATACCAGGGGCGGTTCTAAACCCTTTTTAGGAGGGTTTCAGTCCCCCTAATTGTCACCTTAGCCCGCCAAAACTATCTTAACGATCAGGCCAGTGCTGCTTCCTCGAGAAAGTTTTTTATTCTCACGTGTTTTAAGTCTTGTCAGTTTAAACATTAAAGTAATTTTAAGCCATTTAAGCCCAAGACATCTCAATGTGGTACTCACGCACTGTGATAGTGTTTCTATGCGCACCGCTCACACACCTCAAGTGCACAAACAGATAGCCTTCTCAGACAGCAGGTGAATACCAATGACTGTCTTGACAAGTATCCTTGTAAGCACAGTCGGTTGTTGTGAAATTAGACAAACTTAGCATGTCCTAAAAGGTTGAAAACCCCTGCTCTAGAGCACACCAGCAACCTCCCAGAACACCCTAGAAACCACTTAGAACATCCCAAAAATGACCCAGAATATTCTAACCAATATTTTAAAAAGAACACCATAGAAACCCCTTAGAACACTCGCAACTAGGGCTGTGCAATTAATCGCATGCGATTAATTGCACAGCCCTACTCGCAACCACCCAGAACACACTAGAAACCCCCTAGAGACCCCTTAGAACACTCTAGCAACCACCCAGATCACCTACCTTGGAAACCCTCTTGAATGCCCTAGCAACACCCTAGAAACCACACAGAACATCATAGCAACTCCCCAGAACACCCTGGAAACCTATTAAAACAGCCTAGAAACCACCAATATCATCCTGAAACCCCCTATAACACCCTAGCAATTACTCACTGTGCAATTAATC